CTAAAACATCACAGTAATTCAGACTGAAATATCGAAGCTGCTTTCCAGTCATCCTCAATCAAGATTATAAGCCAGTTCCAAGCGTCTTTGATTTCTTAAAGAACAGATGTTCATTTGAAATAAAAAAACCAGACTTGAGCAGATAACAATGTTTAGTATCATATGAAACCTAGACGTCTCATAAAATATCATTCGTAATGAATCAGGCTCAGACTTAGGCCCAATAGAGAAATGGATTTATCAGTCTCCGCAACAGAGATCTAAAGTCCAGTAACTAAACTGTATCTCAAACTATTAGGCTCACGATCTAATGATACAATATCACTAGATGAAAACTGGTTCCGACAGTAGTAAGCAAATAGACCCATTTAAACGTACGATAAACAATTTTTTTTTCATCTAACATAAAGTTTGCTGACTTTCTCCGACTGTAAATAGCCTTTAGTCACATGTAATACTTATTTCAGACTTATGTCCATAAAATTTCACCTAAATGAGAGCATCTATTTTGTTTCATTAAATCTTTCGTTACAGTATTATGATAGATACTTTATTTTGTTTTCTGTTTCCAATTAGCTTAACTATAATTATTATTGCAAGGGATGAGGCAAGGTTTTCCATTCGAACATGAAATAATACTTCAAAATTATGACAATGTCATTCTAAACAATTAAATATAATATATTTCGATCTATTATGAAATCATCTGCCACAAATAGAATTGTGTTTAGAGTCCACAAAAATCTTTCTTTCCTTAGGATGATGTTCATATTATTAAAGTAATTCATTACACTGGCAATAGATATTTCAAACGTTAATAGATATTTGCTGTATTTTTTGAGCTTGAATCATTGAGGTGATTTTTCTAGTCACTTTTGCAGTTTTTAATGATTTTTTTAAATGTGATATGTGGGTTAATTATGTTTATTGATGACAATTTTAACGTGAACAATGCTAGTTGTTATTACCAGATAAAGTATAATTTAAGATAACAGAAAAAATTCAAATTCTATTTTAGTCATGTCGTTAAAGGAAAGGTAAACGGACAAATTGTAAATGTATTCTTCTTAAAAAAATATAGACCACATCCATTGATAGAACCACATGCCGGAAACAAATACCTTTAACGCAGATAACTTTTTCATTTAGCCTAATCTATCCTCCTCATATAACTACGTGTCCAGACAACTGTCTTACTCGTTGTTAATAGGGCGCCTTAACGTCAATTACGTGAATAATGAGCCCCTTGCATCCGTTTGTGGAAAATCTGTCCCAGTATGCCTTAGCCCAAAGGACTATCAAGATTTGCAGGGTTAGCACAATCTTTTAGAAAAAAAAATCAATGCAAGAAAGCTTGGGATTACAGCATTTAGATACAGATTGATGTCACACTTTGTTAAACTATTTACACCAAAAGAGGAAAAGCTTTGTTTTAAATGCTTTAGATTTTGTCTTTATATACTTGCACATGTATTCTTTATGTTTCGTGGATTGATTATCAAACTATAGCACAAGAAATTTTTTTCATCTCAGAGAAACTCAACGTATTAATTCCGATGTCCTTTAAGGATATTTAAGTAAGGATGACACACATCTGTATGAATCAATGCCAATATAGTTCTAATACGATTTGTCAAAAGACAAATTAGCACACGAGGGCAATTAAAAAGATGAGATATACGTTTGACCTATCTTGTCTACCATTGTCTGTAATTTATATCAAGTGGATAATGGCAATAGAGTTTTGTAAAATGAGTGTGATTAAACTGTACTTAAAAAGCATATAAACAAGGTATCACATATATTTTCGACTTACAATAAATTTATCGGTGTAGACTTTTATCTAAAATATGTAATCATTTCAGAGTATGTTTCTCTAGGTTATCCCATTTTTATTGGTTGATTTTGCAAATGCAAGCTGAACACGTCAGGCTTTCGACTACCGCAAAATGATGTGGGTGTTTCAGGGTGATTGAGTAATAACTGATAAACGACCAATGTGTTTTTCTATTTGGCATTTTGCATTATCTTATGAGAAGAAAAATTATTAAATGCATCGAATGTAATTTCATACAAATTATATCAAAGGCAAAACATAGTGTTGGAAGGATAATTAAAACTGATAATTTTTGGAAAACGTCGTTGTCTTATTTCCTTTGAAATGGCAATTAGTACGGTATACTTCCACAGTAATCCTCAAGGGAGGAGACCCATTATTCCATTATCCATACCTTTTTTCAGCAATTTTTAAATAAATTTTGTTGTAAGGGCCAATTTGTCTGTGTTTCTAACTGGGATTTCTCGGGTTATTTTTCCACCCATTATACCGCCCGCCATGTATATTCTATCATGCGCTGAAAATGGTTTTAAACTATCAAAAACAACGACATTTTGTTTACACTTTAAAATTTATCTATTCGTTTCCATATATAAATTTATTATATGTGTTTTGTTATTTTTTGACATATTCATCAAATTGAACTGTAGGCAAAATTTTATATTATTAATGTAATAAAGTATCACTGACTCACAAGGATGTTACATACATACATACATACATACATACATACATACATACATACATACATACATACATACATACATACATACATACATACATACATACATACATACATACATACATACATACATACATACATACATACATACATACATACATACACACACACACACACACACACACACACACACACATACATACATACATACATACATACATACGCACGCACGCACGCACGCACGCACACACACACACACACACACACACACATACATACATACATACATACATACATACATACATACATACATACATACATACATACATACATACATACATACATACATACATACATACATACATACACACACACACACACACACATACACACACACACACACACACATACATACATACATACATACATACATACATACATACATACATACATACATACATACATACATACATACATACATACATACATACATACATACATACATACATACATACATACATACATACATACATACATACATACACACACACACACACACACACACACACACACATACATACATACATACATACATACATACATACATACATACATACATACATACATACATACATACATACATACATACATACATACATACATACATACATACATACACACACAAATACATGTATACATACATACATATGTATACATACATATGTATACATACATACATACATACATACATACATACATACATACATACATACATACATACATACATACATACATACATACATACATACATACATACATACATACATACATACATACATACATACATACATACATACATACATACATACATACATACATACATAAGTATACATACATATGTATACATACATACATACATACATACATACATACATACATACATACATACATACATACATACATACATACATACATACATACATACATACATACATACATACATACATACATACATACATACATACATACATACATGTATACATACATACATATGTATATATACATACATACATACATACATACATACATACATACATACATACATACATACATACATACATACATACATACATACATACATACATGCATGCATGCATGCATGCATGCATGCATGCATGCATGCATGCATGCATGCATACATACATACATACATACATACATACATACATACATACATACATACATACATACATACATACATACATACATACATACATACATACATACATACATACATACATACATACATACATACATACATACATACATACATACATACATACATACATACATACATACTGAGCTGTACAAGACAAGTAAAACACCACAAATCTTTGGAAAATGAAGTGTTAATCATAAGCCGTACTTTGATCACTTATTAAACGAAAACTTTAAACTTTTGACGGAGTAGTTAATATTATTTACTGTGAAAAAGTAATCATTATACAGTTTATCATCGAAATCATTATTGCAATTTAATTTTGGATATTTAATGATAGAGATGATTTAACACACATGTGATTTCTTTGTCATGAAATATGAAACAGCATAATATATCTCAATATGCAGATAGAACACGCTCTGAACAGTCTTGTTCTCATTACTTCGCATTTCGGTATGTTCTCTATTAGGCAAGTGTTTTTGATGTATATTAAATTTGCATTGGTTGATAGGTAGCTTTTTAATAAAATAAAAATAATGTTCAATATGTATTACAGTTAATGTTGCGTTGTATATTATTCTTGACCCTGTCCAAAGTCGTGTTTAGTTTTACTTGAAGTAAATAATTGATTTTTTATTTTTCAGTACACAAATATTTTTTTTATGTATATTCGTTTGTCATGATGATCATTATTAATATAAGTCAACATATTTATTTGGGTCTGGATCTAGGTTAATGGAATTTCCTTACAATTTACCTGGTGTATCTGACATCGTCCAGGTTATATATTATAATTTTAGTAATATACTTCTCTTTATAACTAAGATTTTATTTTGTAAATATTATGAACTATCCAGAAGAATATTTCCGATAAGGTAATGTGTGGGTTTTAGAAAACGTTAATATGACCTGAGGTCTAGTGGAGAACTATATAATCTTGTTACTGGAAAGATTATTTATTTGTTTCAGGATCTAGCAAAATCTATTTTGAATTATTGTTTTTTCCTTAAGTTCATTTGAACTGAAAACAATTTCTTCAAATTATGTTTTCTAGCAATATAAAATGCTCATTAAAAAATAATATTCTAGGACATAAACATTTACTGGGATTTATAGTGAATTCAAAACTGGAATTACATTATTGTACTCAACAAGACAATGTTGGTACAACAACACAATATAGGCACATCAAAACCCTCAGCGTTGGACCTAATTTTTATTTCTGCCTAAAATTTATTCTCATTCTTTAAATTATTATGGACCGCTCCGGTGGCTTAGTGGTTACAACGTCTGCCTAGGATGCGGGAGGTTGCGGGTTCGAACCACGTCTGAGTCATGTCAAAAACAAAAAAAAAAATGTTACTAGGAGCTGCCTTCGTTTATCTCTCAGCATTAAGAGGTTAGTGTTAGGACTGGTACGCCTGGTGTCAGAATAATGTGACTGGGTGAGACATGATACAATATGTACGCGGCATGATGCCCCAGTTCTAGACATCACTATAAACTATAACACTGCAGACATTGCATCATTATGACTAAAAATTGTTAAAACAGCCTTAAAAATCCAAAACACACGCACAAAACGTACATAGGACATATGTCTGTAATTCTAGGATTATTCTTGGATTTAATTCGAGAGAGAATTGAGAAAGACGAGCACAGGAGCATCATGAAATGGCATTCCTTCATGCAGCCCTGCACAGTTAGATGATGAACACCACCAGAGCCTTTTGAAACATGGGAGGCAGTGGAGTGTTATAAAGAGAGAATCCCTGTTTGTTATCACTGTGCCGAGGACTGCGTGTGTTGCAAGGGAGAAGAACGCTGAGATATTAGTTATTTCATTACAATATCGCTACTGAATATAGCAAGACAATGTATTTTTTCTCAGTCTTTGTAAAGATAATGACCATGAAAAACATCAATTAGTTCGACACACCAATAATCTCATTTCTTAAAATCAGCTTTCTGAAGAACCAAACTTTTCTCTTAAAGCTTAAACAAACACACAAAAAAAGACTTTAGTTATAAGACGTTTAGCTCGATAGTCATTTTTTCTTCTTCTGACCTTCTCTCTGCCTCCCAATATCTGGATACACAGGTCTTAAAATATGTCAACTATCGACCATTCAGTTTTAAAATGGACAGATATATTTTATCAATGACGACGAATCAAAATGTAACATTCAGTTTTAAAATGGACCTATATTATATTCTATCAATGACGTCGAATCAAAATGTAACATTTAGTTTCAAAATGGACTTATCCTATGTTATATCAATGACGTCGAATCAAAATGTAACATTCACTTTTAAAATGGACCTATCATATATTCTATCAATGACGACGAATCAGAATGCAATAGTTTTAAAATGGACCTATCTTATATTATATCAATGACGTCGAATCAAAATGTCACATTATGTTTTAAAATGGACCTATTATATATTATATCAATGACGACGAATCATAATGTAATAATTTTAAAATGGACATATCTTATATTCTATCAATGACGACGAATCAAAATGTAACATTCAGTTTTAAAATGGATTTATCATATATTATATTAATGACGACGAATCAAAATGTAGCGTTCTGAAAGAATTATAGAAGACACAACAGAAACAGAAACTAATATAACAAACATTATATATCCGTAGTAAGCTGTTCTTCCAGATAAAAATTTCGATAATGATATACAAAACTTAATCGGATTGATTATATTAAAATTATCCATTTTGATATGCCTAATGCTGAAAAAATACTGACCACTGCGGGGGCATCCATCTATAATGCGGGAGGTGGCGGATTCGAACCCCGGCTGAGTCATACCAATGACTTTTAAGATAATGGTACTAACAGCTGCCTCGCTAGGCACTCAGCATTATGAAGTTAGTGCTAGGACTGGTCGGCCTGACCTCAGTATAATGTAACTGGGTGGGACATCATGCTACATATCTCTGGCATTATCCTCCAGTGCCAGGCTCCACCATAAACTGTATAACTGCAGACATCATAGCGATATGATGAATATTGCTAAAGCTACACTTTATCTTGAGTGTTCATTATGTGTATGACTACGTTACGATAACAACAGACAGACGTATCATGCCTGTAAGAATCGCAACTAGTTGTTAGGAATCACAACTAGTTTTGTTTTGCTCTTGTTTGTAATTGTTTTTTCTTGAATGTTCATTGTGTGTGATAAGCTTATAGTAAGTTTGCCTGTAAAGATTATTGTGATATTATCATCTTGTATGGCTGGTATCGTCTGCTATGGACGTTTCGCAATCGTTTCCGCGTGCAAAATATACGCTGCATCATGTCACTGTTTCAAAGTAGACTTCAAAGAACCCAATTTCTCAAGTGCACTCTTTAATTTTGTTCAAAATGTTTGCATCGTTTCAGGAATTGGATTGGTGATAGTTCATTAATGGAAAGAAAATCTTTGAGACAAGATATAACTAGAAATTGCTTTTATTAGGCTGCAAAGATAGCATGCTTAAACAAATTTCGTGACGCTTTCACCTTCGTTTGAAGATTGCATTATACCGCCTCTGCATCTTGCTTAATTAGCATCAGTCACAAATGTTCTCTCTTAGATGTCTGCGCACTCGCTGTAATTATTCTTGATTTAAGAGGTATTCTCTATAGATATTAATGTTGTAATAATGTGCAATGAGATCTTCAATTAATTATTAAGATATCAAAGTATTTACCAGAAAAAGAAAGAATGCATCACAGAATTGACAACTTGGTGTTATGAACGTGGAGTAGGCTCGTCGCGTGTAGTTCTGCGTATCATTCCTTAAAGGTTTCGACAAGAAAAGTTAAGTATACTAATATGAATATAGCGCGCATACGGCTATATTCAACATTCTTTTGTATATCATAAGCCCATGATTCGTTCCGAGGACTTCCGAAGACTGTCTGACAACAATCATGGTTCAATTTAAATGCCCCATTTCATTTCAATGTTGTCGATCAGTTTTAGTTGAATAAAAAGACAACTATAATATAATCTCGATAAAATGAATTCATTTTGATTTCTACATCATAGCTGTAGCTACTAGAAAAATTTTTGGCAATATAATTTTAATTTGTAATCACCTTTACTCTGATTGAGTTAGAGTATACAGACTTGAAAAATGTCGTTCTTTATTTTACCCTCGTAAAAATGAGTAAATAGTTCAAGATAGTTTGCGTCTCTTAAAAGAACACGCATTTCTTCGGAATTTTAAAAATATATTCTATTGAACTTTTACACTCTAACCTGCAAATGTATATCATTGTACAAAAAGTAGCTATCTAATTTATTGACAATATAGTGATTACAATTTACATTCATGAACAAACATTACACATTTATTTATTAAGTCGAGTACCAAGAATTACAAATGTATGGATACACATAACATTATGTATGTATGTATGTATGTATGTATGTATGTATGTATGTATGTATGTATGTATGTATGTATGTATGTATGTATGTATGTATGTATGTATGTATGTATGTATGTATGTATGTATGTATGTATGTATGTATGTATGCATGCATGCATGCATGCATGCATGCATGCATGCATGCATGCATGGATGAAAGTATGTATGTATGTATGTATGTATGTATGTATGTATGTATGTATGTATGTATGTATGTATGTATGTATGTATGTATGTATGTATGTATGTATGTATGTATGTATGTATGTATGTATGTATGTATGTATGTATGTATGTATGTATGTATGTATGTATGTATGTATGTATGTATGCATGCATGTATGTATGTATCTATGTACATATTCACAACCTTGATTATCTAGTGCCGATTTAAAGTTTACTTCAAAAAATATTAAGGGAAAGATTACTAAATTCATCGGGAAGAATAAACCTTCGTACAAAAATAAGTAATTCTTCAGGATAAAATGCAAAGATTTCAAATATAATATACAAAATGTTATTTTTTATATCTCCAGGAAGATTAACCTTTCCAAATAAACTGTTGTCTTTATATTTCAAGGTAAAAGGCACAAGTTAAAATATTTAAAGATTGTTTGAAATAAAAACTAAAAATTATAACGTTCTTAAAATATATTAGCCAGTCGAGTAAAGCCACAGCACTGACAGTGAATTCAATCTCTGGTTGTTTCTTCAGAAGAAAATAATGCCGATTCAACAGTGGCTACAAAGACAACCGTATCTCACTGTAAAAAGCACTTACATCAACACACTGCACATTTTAAATACAATATTGAATCATTTATAAATGGACTTCCTTTTTGAACGAGTGCAGTAAAATCACATTAATATGGCAAATGATTCATGAAGAAGCAAAAAGTGTATTTAGTGATGAATGCAAGCAGAGACAAAACCGATTGGATCAATGGGCGGCGTGGTAAGCATGTATTGACTGTTTAAATTGACATTCGCAAGCCTATGACTTGTATAATACGGTTAACGATACTTCATTTGAGTATGTCATCATTCCTGCTATTGCAATTTATTTTACACTGCTCATTTGTATGTCTGCCTCAGAAACATATTTTATCCCAAATCCATTTCTGACTGCTCAAGCGACTAAATTTTAAATTTGCAAACATTGCTCTTCCTGTTTCTCTGTTTATGATAGTTTACATATGTGCACAGAAGTAACTGAACTTTTAATGCCACCAAAAATTAAATTACAAGGAAAAAATAGCACTGTTAAGTTTACTTTCCACAATGTGTGTGTGTGTGTGTGTATATATATATATATATATATATATATATATATATATATATATATATATATATATATATATATATATATATGTATATATGTATATATGTATATATATATATATATATATGTGTGTGTGTGTGTGTGTGTGTGTGTGTGTGTGTGTGTGTGTGTGTATCAACCAGCCTGTATAAACTTGTTGCTGATGCTGAGAGATGTTTCCTTTTTTTACTTTGTGTACATTTATGTAACACTGATTAAATCCCGGATATTTGATTATATACCGGAATTTTGTTCTTATATTAGTAATTGAAGGATACTAAGATTTAGAAAAGTTTGAAAAGAAACTATTTATATATATTTACTAGATGCCATGGTGGTCTGGAGCTAAAATTGTGCAAATTATATAACAATTGACATACTGATAGCTAATGTACTGTAAGGTGTATGATATAATTCACAATAAACTTGACACGCCCTTGCTATAGCATAGTAAACTAAGTTTTAGATTTACTTGTTTTCATCATCTACACATTAGGTTTGCTGTTATTGCTTGTTACTAATTGGAAATGCATATCTGATTAAGTAATTTCAAGTTCAATCTAGG